CACTGTTCTCCCAAGGGTCTTGTTCATGTTTTCCCAACTCATCTTGGCTTTTTAAATGGTATAATTTACTTGCACACATACTCGTGTTTGTAATGTGTATTTAGTACATATGGTGGTTGTATTTGTTTTGGAGCCAGCCCAGTGTGTCTTCGGTCTGTTGGGGGGGGGGGGGGATTGAACATGGATATGTTTTGGCAAAGTTGCTGTGTCTACTCAAGAGTGTTGAAGCACCATCATATCATGTTTAAGGACTATTCCTCTATGTTCAGTGCAGTGACTGCTGTTTAGGCACGTAGCAGCAGTTTAATGTACAACCCATGTAGGCACTCTGTCTGATGTGTGAACAACATGATAAACTTCACAAAAGCATCATAATATTATTGTCCAGACTTGGGGGTTTTCAAAATCCCAAACGTAATACCAATGTTTTAAAGTGCAACTCATCCAAACATTTTTAGCCTATACCCAACAAACATGGACAGACCTTCTTCAGCCTGGTCTGACTTGCATTTTACTAATTTGACAGACGCTTCTATTCAAACGCAACTTATGTTGCATTCAAGGAAAACATTTTTTATCAGTTCATTCATTCCCTGGGAATCAAAACCAATTGGCATCACCATGCTCTATTCTTTAAACTACAAGAATTACTTAGTGTGTTGTGTCTTTTCTAACCAAATAGACCTACAGTTTCCCCATATTTATTCTATTCAAACGTTCTGACTAATAACTCCCAAGAGTTTTCAAGCTACGGATCTATGACCAAACACCCAAAAATTAAAATTCAGTTATCAGTTGATAGCAGCCATTCACTTCTAAAGTTTTTTCCAAACTATGGAAGTAAATGGCTACCGTCAACTGTTTGGTTACCAACATTCTTCAAAATATCTACTTCTGTGTTCAACAGAAGAAAGAAACTCATACAAGCTTGTGGGTGAGTAAATGATGACAGAATTTTCATTTTTGGGTGAACTATCCCTTTAATTGACTCAGTTACAGTTATATCAATACTTCACTTACACCTTTAAGTGTTTGAGATGCAATGTAAGTAATGAAATTAAATGCTGCCATAATAATTCTAATTATTTATTTATGGAAACAAATACATCAGTTTGCATGTCATCAAACTGTAAAAAAGGAACAGGAAATACATATATATTCCTTTCTTCATTAGTCAGTAAAGGTAGAAGTAGATTTAGTGAATCTGTTCATAACAATCTCTAAAGAAACTATAGCTTTGGATAAATGTCAACTAACATTAATCTGCAAAAACAATTGATATTATTTTAGCATTTAGTCATATAGTTTAAAACACTTGAAATAAATACAGATCAAAAGAAAAAAAAAGAATCACAACAAGAATTACAGTAACAAATATTTAGATTGTATCCAGTGTGATTTCCGAAAGTCAACATGAATTGCTGTTTGCAATCCTACATATTTCAGTGTGAAACACTATGTTCAACAAGAAAAATGTGGAGCAGGATTTGATTTTATCTATTGAGAATCATGATCAGCACACAGGGTGTACCATCCCAGAATATGAATTGTGTTTGCTAAAACAATACTTAAATAGATTTGGCTACTCACATTATCCATTAGCTCACATGGATAATTGGATATCAAAATTCTTTGGAATAACATAATCAGATGAATCTTTCACAACAAGACCAAGAACACATCTTAAGAAAGTAAATAGGGTCAATTTCATGTTGACTAATATATATATATATACAGTATATATATATATACAGTGGGTACGGAAAGTATTCAGACCCCCTTAAATTTTTCACTCTTTGTTATATTGCAACCATTTGCTAAAATCATTTAAGTTAATTTTTTTCCTCATTAATGTACACACATCACCCCATATTGACAGAAAAACACAGAATTGTTGACATTTTTGCAGTCTGAATAAATAAGCTTTCAATTGATGTATGGTTTGTTAGGACAATATTTGGCCGAGATACAACTATTTGTAATTTGGTGCAAAAAAAATCTAAATATTGAGAAAATAGCCTTTAAAGTTGTCCAAATTAAGTTCTTAGCAATGCATATTACTAATCAAAAATTAAGTTTTAATATATTTACAGTAGGAAATTTACAAAATATCTTCATGGAACATGGTCTTTACTTAATATCCTAATGATTTTTTGGCATAAAAGAAAAATCTATAATTTAGACTTAAGTCAAGACTTAAGACTGGTTTTGTGGTCCAGGGTCACATATATATTTCTATTAACACTGAATGTCTTTGAAAAATCGGCTTTCCCAGTCAGTAGTTCCTTCACTGTACATTCCAGTATTTTAAAAGAAGAAAAAAAAACAACATAGTTCAGTAACTTCATTTGAAGAGGACTAAACCCTCCAGCATTCAATAAAGAGAAAATAGACATTCGTCCCTCAGGAGAAACAACATAACACACTAACATAAGCCATGCTCATGTCACAGAGGTCATGTGCACATGTGCACACCTTCATTTAGCATGTAATTGGACAGATATTTATACAGCTGCCTGGAAGTGCATTTGAGATCAGATGAACTAAAAACAGAAAAAAAAAACCACTTTCAAAATAAATAGGATTTTGGCTCAGAGACCCCAACAAATGAAAAAAAAGTGGTATATCAGATGACTGTGAGAATGTTGATAGCTGGTAAACGACAAAACTTTGTAACAAACCATGGAAATACAAATGTGTTTTTTTGGGTCTTCACACATCTAGGGACCTTGAGGCACCTTGCTGAGCTGAAAGCCCTTATGGGCCCTTAGGGGTGTGAGATCTAAATAAACGCTACAAGATGCTGACATGCATCCTGACTGGATTATGTTGTCAACTCAAGTAAATAAACAGAGGAACTAAACACTGTGAAGCAAAACATCTGTGGAGATTTTCATGTTTGTTTTTTGGATGCTGAGAATTTCAACTAAAACAGGGCTTTTCACACCATGATTATCATCTTTTTTTTTTTTTTTGCCCTGGGTTAAAGTCACATTTAACCCAGGGTTAAACAATACTTTTGCAATATTCAATGACACAATGAAATGCTACAATGTAAAGGCCAACTGTTTCATGTCAGACTCATCATAAACTGCTTAAATTCTTGCCTTATTAAATATCCTCATTTTGAATAAAGTCATCCAAAAAAGGCTCAAGTGAAGAATGAAAGTGGCCAGTTTATCATAGAGAAAGCATTAAAAAATGAATACCTCAGAGAGACTTCTGTGTATAATATGATTGTGGCAAACAGGTCAGGGCCGAGAGTCATGGGAATGGAGTGAGGCCAGTGGCGTGAGTGCTAATGAGCGACACCTGCGCGCCACAACGGAATCGAGTCTCACAGAGGAACTATATAAAGAGGAGTGATGCCAGTGGAGCGAGAGAAAGGACCAGGCCTGGGACCGTTTAAGTTTTGTGTGTGGTGCAATCGGCCATGAAGTGGCTGCCACTTGTTTAATTTCTGAATTAATGTACATTTAATTTGAGCACGTTGTGTTCAGTACAAATTTTGTGGGTACCTTTGAGTCATTACCTAATTTAATTCCTTCACTGAACCAGGCACCAAAACAACACTTGCAAATAAACTGAGCTATATTAATTCTAAATGAATTCGCCCCACTGCATTTTTTTTTTAAGTCATGATTAGTGTCCAGACGCACGAAAATCTTCAGAAGCCAAACCACAGTAACTACATCAACACTGAAGCAGAAAAAATTATTGAATTCTGATTGATTTGAGATACAATTTCACCCTCTGTTCTCTCTGAATCTAAACATAATAGAGCCAAACCCATTTGTCACAGGGCGGAACGTATTGTAAGAGACCCAATGTGTCTTTGCATGACAAAATAATTATTACTATAAATAGATAAAAGGCTTCAATTTGAGTCACTGTTACCGTACAACATAACTGGTATTCATCCATGGATAAAAATCGTAGAGAAAAAGGGACAAACTTTGCCTTGAGACATGAAAGCCCACCCCAGCGCACGTTACACAGCTCTGAAACAGATACCAGTGGAACGAATTTCTTTCACCACCATTGTTCTGCGGTTCTCTAGAACTTTGGAGAGGTCCTCTGTGTTATTCAAGGAGACATTGATCAACATTTCTGACACACAAGTTCCTGTGGCCAAAGAACAGTGTGTACCAAGATCTGTTTTGCCATTCCATTCATACATTCATATCCCCAGTGGTGAATGCTTTCATGCTCTGATTATTAGAGGCACTTCTTGATGCTTTTGGTCCTTTTGTGAAATCAATCCAGCTTAATTCTTTTATATGTTATAACAGTTCACGTGATTTGACGACTGAGTGCTAAATGTAGTATAATATTATTGCTGTCAAGATGACATTGGCTCTTGCTGTATTCTGGGAGCACAGAGGAGCTGGCAGTAAAATTCAAGATTATGAAAACTTCAGTGTTTACTTCATGCCACGTACTTTAAGGAGGGCTGTCAATTGGTTAAACCAGGGTTTCCAAACATGAGTTCATGGGTTGATAAAAAGCTAATATTTAATTATACTGAATGTAAAATTAAAGTAAATAAATGGGCATTTCATTTCAATTATCAAATCTTTCTTTTTTTATTTTATATATTTGTGCACTGCACAACAGCAATATACTAATAATTTATTATTGTTTCTTTTAGAGAACCGTGAACATGTAAATGTGCCATTAAATTATTCAAATATTAATTTAAAATCTCAGGGTGTAGTTCAAGTAAATTACAAAAAAAGTTTGGGAACTCCTGGATTAAACCTTTTAATCTCTTATGGTTAACCTGCTAACGCATTCAGTTTCTTTTAAAGGAAAGAAAATAAAATCAGAAGACTATATAATTATTAGGTTTGTGAATTTATGTGGATTTTTATTCATTAGCTCGGAATTCTGAATGTTACTCATCTCACTTGCACAAAAAAAGCAGAAACAAAAAGTGAAATCACAAAACAGAATGAGACGGTCAGTATATAACATCAAACTGAATAAATGTGGCAACCGATTAAATAATTAAGTGTTAAACTTACTGTATTTACTGTATGCGTTAACATGTTAACTGTGACAGCTCTAATTGTATGTGATAGCTGATTCTAAGTAAGTCTTCTATACTTTTCTGGAAGACAAAGATGAAATAAATCATGATATCTGTTTTCAAAACGTTTCAATATGACCTATAGAACGAGCGTCAGTGTGAAGTGTAGAACAGGCACAGCTCAGTGTTGCTCAGCCTCAATGTACGTCACTCTTTTTCTTTGGTCATATCCCGAATGACGCACTTGATGTCTGTGAAGTCCATAAGACTGTAGGATGTCCCATTGATTATTTCATGATTCATAAGGGTTCTCATGAGGGATCATTTTTGGCCACAATGTGCCCTTGTTGCTGACAGTCTTTCTGGCTTACCATCACAAGAATTTAGGTGGAGGATGACTTGCAAAGGCTGAAAGTGGCATTTGAGGAAGGGCCTTTGTCGTTGATGTTGATAAACTGTCATAATGAGATAACGTGGCAATAAGATGTACCCATCTGGCTTGATCAGCAGAACAAGCATCACAGGTATGTGGTGGCCTCACGGTTCTCACGTTCTTTGGCCTGCGCCACAGCCACATTGATGCACTGCAGCCACTCTTCCGCATGCTTCTCGTCTTGAGCTTTCAGCACGTAGGTTTTGCTGTCGGTGAAGATCTCAAAGGCTCTGGGCAGCCCGCGGTCACGCCTCTTCTTTGCAACCACCTTAACACTTTGCACTTTGCTAAGTTCAATTGTGCTGTTGTCCAGTTCGTCCTTCTGTGAGTAACAAGAGGGAAAAGGCTCCATCAATCAAAGCTAATGCTTTACACTCTAACATTCAGGAAGCTTTGCATGGACCACAGCCATGTGCATTGAGCCAGTAGTCTAAGTCAGACCCTACACCTCGTCTACAGCTTGGAAATAATCCGCATCTTATTGGCAGTCGCCACAGAAGATCTGCTCTGAATTTTTACTCACTTTACTCTGAGGTTCACCTGACTCCATCAGACCTGTTATTTCCCTTGTGGAAAACAAGTACACTTTAGAAGAGTGCTTATTATAGACATAATATACTTTAAAAGAATGTACTTAAGTGCAACTGAATTTAGTGATTTTTTGGACTAATTGCATGTTAATTTAAATGAAAACAATTTAAAACATTATAAATGCAATGAATGAATTAAGGAGTGCTTTATGACCCCCTGAAGTAGGACTTAAGCACATCATTATATGAAAAATAATAATCGCTTCTATTGTCTTTGAAATATAGTTAAGTGTACTACAGAATGTACTGAAAAGCACTTATTGTAAACTAAAAAAAATACTTGAATGTCATTTCTGTTTAAACTTGTATGTCATGTATTTCAATATATTTATAATTACACATTTGTAATGATGAAGTTGCAGTTTAGTACATTTTTTAAATATATTAACAAACTGCAGTACAAATTATAATAAGGTACTTTAAATGTGCATTAGTACATCAACACATCAAAATAAGTGTACTTCTTTAAAGCCCAACATAAGTTTTACATGTTAAACTTTGGCGCATAGTTTGCCAAAAATGAGGCTTATTGTTGTTTGTGTCCACTGATGAGAATAAGCACCATTAAAATGAAAGAAAAATTACAGAATTGCAAGCAAATTAAAGGCATAATAAAAACAAGATACCATGACAAGAGGCCAAATTGTCCTCAAAATCATATTGAAAGAGCTTGTCATGCCTGATCAAATTAAGACTCTGTCAAGAGTTTGCAAAATAAAATGACTGTAGCAATGCATCGCTTTTCCAGCATAAGATTTACAATAAATCTAGATTTAATGTGCTTACAGCTCTGACAAATGAATTCATTTGTACTAAAAAGCTTTTGCTGGCTTTCTGTCAGAATACTGTGAGACTGACTGATCTTAGCTTTTTAGTCACTGTTTGCATGTCATGGTTTTGGTTATGAATTCTCTTTTGCATAACCCTAAATTGCTCCAAGTTATATGGATGCATAGTAAACTGGGTCTTTACTTCGTTTAAACACAACAGAGAGATTTTGACAAGCCGTTTTAGTTTTATTTAGTATCTAAATCCCTTCAGGGAACATTTTGGTGAATCTTAAGATTAAGGGATGGGTTTTCATAAAGAATTGATCATCTTCTAGAAAGCAGGGCTCTAGACTAATAAAATTTCTAGTGAGCCATTAGCTCCTAAAATAAATCATCTAACAGCTAAAATCCTTTTTTTAGTCGCCAGATTACAGAATTGCTCATTATAGATTGTAGTTCATGCTCAAAATCTTTTGCGATGGGTCAAGATTCACAGGGAGATGCAAGAAAAGTTGTTCTGATATTGCTTTTTAACCAAGTTTGCTCTGTGAGGAATTATTTCATTATTTAAGTACCATGTTACATTCATTTGGGCGACAAGGATCTGTCCTAGGTCCTTTGCTATTTTCGATATACATGTTGCCCCTTGGTAATGTTATTAGAAAATACTGGATTAGTTTCCACTGTTATGCTGATGATACTCAACTATATATCTCAACAAGACCAGATGAAACTTCTAAATTATCTAAGCTAACAGAGTGTGTTAAAAATGTAAAAGATTGGATGACCAATAATTTTCTCCTATTAAATTCGGATAAGACAGAGATATTACTTATTGGACCAAAAGACAGTACACAGAATCTCGTGGATTACAATTTGCAACTAGACGGATGTACGGTTACTTCCTCTACAGTCAAAAATCTGGGTGTTATATTAGATAGCAACTTGTCTTTTGAAAATCATATTTCCCATGTTACAAAAACAGCATTCTTCCATCTTAGAAACATTGCCAAGTTACGAAACATGATACCTGTTTCTGATGCAGAAAAGCTAGTTCATGCATTCATGACCTCTAGACTGGACTACTGTAATGCACTGCTAGCTGGTTGTCCTGCATCTTCAATAAACAAGCTACAGATAGTCAAAAATGCAGCGGCTAGAGTCCTTACCAGGTCAAGAAAATATGATCATATTACCCCAATTTTACAGTCCCTGCACTGGCTACCTATTAAGTTCCATACCAGTTACAAAATATTATTACTTGCCTATAAGGCCCTTAATGGGTTAGCTCCTGCATACCTAACTAGTCTTCTACCACGCTACAATCCATCACGCTCCCTAAGGTCACAAAACTCTGGACTTTTGGTAGTACCTAGGATAGCAAAGTCCACTAAAGGAGGTAGAGCTTTTTCACATTCGGCTCCCAAACTCTGGAATAGCCTTCCTGATACCGTTCGGGGTTCAGACACACTCTCTCTGTTTAAATCTAGATTAAAGACACATCTCTTTGGCCAAGCATTCAAATAATGCATCTCATAATCTTTTACTGCAGTCATAATCTTTTACTGCAGTTATATCTAATCAAATGCACATTATTATTCATTAGTTTGGGTTAAACAAATCATTTTTGCTTGGTTGGAACAGCAGCTACGCTAATTATGTTTGTATTTGTTTCTCTGTCTTTTGCCACGGGATTAACATCCCGTGGTAACTAGGATTCACACAAGCTTCAGTCTGGATCCAGAACACCTGAGAAGAGATGATGCAACCCCTCAGAGGACCTCAGATGATGCCAACCCTGAAACAACATACAGAACTACCACATTTTGCTATAAGTTTGATTGCATCATATAATAATTGCTGTTAATATTATTCATCGTCTGTTTTATTACGTCTTATATTGATTTTTCCGTACTGCTGGTTCGTCTGGTCAGAGGAGAACTGGCCCCCCGACTGAGCCTGGTTTCTCCCAAGGTTTTTTCTCCATTCTGTCACCGATGGAGTTTTGGTTCCTTGCCGCTGTCGCCTCTGGCTTGCTTAGTTGGGGACACTTCATTTCCAGCGATATCGTTGACATGATTGCAAAGATATTATTTAAACTGAGCTGGATGTTGACATCACTGAATTCAATGATGAACTGTCTTTAACTGAAAAATGAGTGTTTACTATTGTCATTTTGCATTATTGACACTATTTTCCTAATTAATGCTGTTCAGTTGCTTTGTCACAATCTGTATTGTTAAAAGCGCTATATAAATAAAGGTGACTTGACTATATATCAGATTATTTTATTTGCAAGTTTCATGCTTGTGTTTATCCCGTTTTTTTCCCCCCTTGCATCTGAAAATTACTTTAAGAAAAAATTCAAATCAGTGTAGTGTGAAATGGATCATGGGAAATGTAGTCCGGGGTGAAAGGGTGATACAGTCTGTGTGGTGAAGGGGACCTCTGGTGGTGAGCGGGAGGAGTTACGGGGACCGGATTCGTGACAGATATGTTGTTCAGCTCAAGTGTTGATGATGTGACAAAGATTGACAGTGGTGGGCGTGTCTTATTAAAGTGAACTCGTCCCCTGCTGCGCATCCTCTTCATCCACACCCTCTTGAGACAGCAGTGAGACCATTTCCACCGAACCCTTCACTTTTTTTTCTGTGGAAGCTAAAAAAAATAGAGATCACAGAAATGAAAAAGTAAGAAAAAAACAATTCTGCTACATATACATCTACACATGGATGATGCTACAGCTCCACTCGATTGTCCCTACACATGCTGAAAACAACAGAACATTAAACAAAATATGACAAAATATAAAGTATACAAATAAACTTGAATTGAATTGAATTGAATTGAATTTGGGCTTCTTTTAATTGGAATTATCTGCTGTATATTCTATTCATGTTTCAGGAATTGATAAAGCATCATTTATTTACATTGCAACAGAAGGACACAGAATAGGAAACATTGGCATGTGTGTAATTATCTAATGTTACCTCAAGAAATTATATCTGACAAAACTAGGGCTGGGCGATATAGCTAAAAAATGTATCAACGATGTAACGTGTCATATCGTTCTATAGTTCATATAGTTTTAACAGTCAAACATACAATAAAAATTAAACAAATCTCTAATTTCTATTGTTTTATATGCAGATTAAATAGGTCTGAAGGAAACTTTTGTCTTATCTCCCGAGGCCACAGGAGGGCACAATGAGCAAAATAATGCAGCACATTTAAATTGTCAACGCAAGGAAATAAATGTCTATTAAAAACCTGCATTACATCTAAATTAACTCATATAAATCAAATATAATTTTGTAAATTGCAAAAACAATTATGAACAAAACAGCATCATGTATTTATGCATTGCTTAATACAAGGAGCCGAATCGCCCATCACGCAGATTGCATTTAAAAGCATAAGAGACGCAGTGAAAAGGAATAAACCTCCACAAATTCGCAACATGTTTTCTAAAGGTTTAAACTGTTTTAACTTTGCATGGTTACATCTCTTGAGTGAGACGCGAGTGCAGCAGTCATATTTGTCCGTCTAAAAATGCGCTGAATATGCGTTTTGTGTGAATGGCTTGGTTTCGGATTTCACCTATTCAAGATCTTCTCCGCATTGAGCTTCTATATTTCTCTAATATTTTGAATGCATAACACAGGAGCGGCCCATCTCGTGGGCTAGACTAACAAAACATTAAAATGCAAAAACATCACTTACATCATCATCACCGCATCTCGTGCGCCACTGTTTAAGGAATTGATAAAGCATCATTTATTTACATTGCAACAGAAGGACACAGAATAGGAAACATTGGCATGTGTGTAATTATCTAATGTTACCTCAAGAAATTATATCTGACAAAACTAGGGCTGGGCGATATAGCTAAAAAATGTATCAACGATGTAACGTGTCATATCGTTCTATAGTTCATATAGTTTTAACAGTCAAACATACAATAAAAATTAAACAAATCTCTAATTTCTATTGTTTTATATGCAGATTAAATAGGTCTGAAGGAAACTTTTGTCTTATCTCCCGAGGCCACAGGAGGGCACAATGAGCAAAATAATGCAGCACATTTAAATTGTCAACGCAAGGAAATAAATGTCTATTAAAAACCTGCATTACATCTAAATTAACTCATATAAATCAAATATAATTTTGTAAATTGCAAAAACAATTATGAACAAAACAGCATCATGTATTTATGCATTGCTTAATACAAGGAGCCGAATCGCCCATCACGCAGATTGCATTTAAAAGCATAAGAGACGCAGTGAAAAGGAATAAACCTCCACAAATTCGCAACATGTTTTCTAAAGGTTTAAACTGTTTTAACTTTGCATGGTTACATCTCTTGAGTGAGACGCGAGTGCAGCAGTCATATTTGTCCGTCTAAAAATGCGCTGAATATGCGTTTTGTGTGAATGGCTTGGTTTCGGATTTCACCTATTCAAGATCTTCTCCGCATTGAGCTTCTATATTTCTCTAATATTTTGAATGCATAACACAGGAGCGGCCCATCTCGTGGGCTAGACTAACAAAACATTAAAATGCAAAAACATCACTTACATCATCATCACCGCATCTCGTGCGCCACGGATGACGCTCACTGACACACTCCTAACATTCAAATGCAAATGTTTATTTTAAATTCGACTAATATTCTTTTTTTTTTATTCACAATCTCCTCATCACAGGCAGGCACAGCACTCAATTCAGCATGTGTTCGTGTTTGTGTGTGTGCTGTCTGCGTCACTCATAGCACGTGCCTATACCGTGCGCTATATCGAAGATTTTTAATATCGTTATTGAAGAAGGTGTACCGTCGATAAATATTGATACCGTTTTAAGTTTTCCTTACAGCAAACAACCTATTTAGTCACAGTCTGAAGCTCAGGAACATGAGGGAGACAAATATAGAAATTTGCCCCCAATTAAAATCTTACACTAATAAATTGCTTATTGACTTTTGATTTGATTTGATTACAATGAGATGAAATTTGAAAAACAAATGAATTATATAATTAGTCATGCAAAACCTGAAACTTTCTCTGCATTCACTCCCCGTCATGACATTCCAAAAACATATGACTTGATTTCTTCCATGGAACACAGATTAAAATGCATGTTCACCCTGCTCTTTGAAAGCAGACCAGTGATCAGGGGTTGCAATAGCTTTGGGAAGCAATACAATAGCTTTGTGTGAGAAACAGACATAAATTTAAGTCATTGTCCACTAATAATCGGGATTGCTCTTAGTTGTCGTCATGTTTTTAAAACTTGCTACTTCGCAATCAGTCACATGACACACAAGAAGCAATGGCATTTGATGTCAAACTTTGGGTGACATGAGGGGCATGAAAAGAAAGACTGAGCAAACAGCTTAAATTATGACTTGGTTCTTACACAGGGCTATCATTTGACTTCTGAAGATCTGGAACATACTTCACAAGTTACATGGAATAAGTTTTAAATAATTAAACATTTTTAAAGTCTTCTATGCTCATCAAGATTGCGTTTATTTGATCAAAATACCGTAAAAACCGTAATAAATCGTTTCTTGCAGCTTAATACTTTTGTGGAAATGGTGATATTTTTCCCCCAGAATTCTTTGATGAATAGAAATTTCAATGAATAGAATTGATTTGAAATAGCAATTTTTTTTAACATTATAAATGTCTGTATTGTCACTTTTGATCACTTTAAGGCAGTTTCTCAACCCTGGTCCTGGGCGCCCCCCAACACTGCACATTTTGTGCGTCTCCCTAATCAAACACAACTGATTCAACTCAGTAGCTCAGTAGAAGAAACTCCCAGACCTGAAATGGGTGTGTCAAATAAGGGAGACATACAAAATGAGCAGTGTTGGGGGGCGCCGAGGACCAGGATTGAGAAACACTGCTTTAAGGTGTCCCTGCTGAATACACGTATTATTTATTTATCTATTTATTTTTGAAATCTTACTTACCCCAAACTTTTGAAAGGTAGGGAATGCATGTTTCCACAAAAATATTAAGCAGCAAATGAGGGTGAGTAAATGATTACAAAATGATCATTTTTGTTTCTCTTGATGGTAAGGAATGCATAAATAATACATTCTGTGAATGAGACACTTACCGATTTTCCTCTTCGGAAGAGAAGCTGATTGCCGGCGAGGGTGAAATAACGCGTTTTCCACCTTTTGATGAACTTCCAGCGCACTTGTTTCTCCTTCAGCTTCCCCTCAATGAGTGGCTGGCCATCCTGGTTAACAACTGGGCAGAAAGAGTCCAAATGAAATGGTCAGACAATGTTAAAGTACAGGGAAGAATCACAGAAGTTGTATGGACTAGTGTAATTGTGCTTTTATGATGTTTTCATCAGCCCTGCTTTCATTGTAGAGACAGAGCAGAATAAACACTCTTAGACTTTCAAAGAAAGTCAGTCACAGACATGTTTAGAATGATACGAGGGTGAATAAATGATGAATTGAGATTATTGGATGGACAAGTCCAATTATAACATTAGCCCCTTTCACACAGTAACGCCAGCAAATTATCGTGAAATTACCAGAATTAATTTTCGGTAAATACACAAAATCTGCTGTTCACAAAAGCAATGCTGCCGTGCAAGGGCAAAAGGCTGTAACTTCGTTTTTGGTCGAAAATTAGTTATTGATATTTTTGGGACATTCAAGACCTCTTTTATCATGTGCATAAGTATCTTGAGTCGATTTTGTTGTGTTTTCGAGAAAATAATGAAGTTACTGTGTCAATATGAGGTTACTGTGCCGGCCTTGAGCTATATGGTATTCTGCCTTTGTTTTACTGTCCATTAAAGTGTGCCGCGTTTAAATTACGGTGTAAATTGTGTACTTTCCTTCTTCTGTCACTGAAGCACTTAGACAAAGAATTAGATAGATCGTGATCTACCAAACTGCTCCTTATAACAATAGCACTGTAAACAAGCAAAGACTAGATAACTTGGAATAAATAAGTAATCGTATATAATCTTTAACAATAATAATTTTTTTCTTCTTTTTATATTGCAGATTATTCACTCAGTGCCTGTCTGCCAGTCTGGGACTGCCCACTTCCAGTTGCACGCTTTACTATATGTTATAGCTTATGAGATGATCACTAGATTTTATACAGGTGTTACTATAATGATTTTCTAATTGGTGATCAGCAACCAAATATTGATAATGTGGAAGTTACTGACTTTTGCCTTGGCGTGAGACATCTCTCTTTTTGCAGACAATACAAAGGCAGAGCACAGTAATTTCAAAATGGGGTAAAAATCAATTTTGAGCTCAAGATTTTTTATGTAGATAATTTTCATTACTAAAACATCTAATTGCCAGATTTCCAGTGTCCTACCTATAATTAATTTGGCTGGACAAATAAAAATCTTTAAAGTAATTTTTCTCAGTTCCACACTAGTGAGTTAAGGTCTTTTGCATTTGTAGGGCAGAATGGTGTTCTGGATTTTTACTGAGACCATTCACGCAGCACTAAAATACCAGTAAACTCTGTGATGTCAGTTATCGGAACTTATGCAGCGTTTTTTTTTATTCATTAGCTCGGATGAGGAGAAGCGCTTAAGTTTAGCTATCTATCCAATTTGATCATTCGTTACTTCTGCATGACATGAGTAAGGAGAGGATCACACATAACACGTTTTTGTGCTTAAAAACACAATAGTATCCAACTGCAGAGGACAACTGCGGTGCTGATGAATGGAAAAGAGGGCCGTTTTAGAGTGAAAAGCACAATACATCTATCAAAGACATCCAAATAACACACATTTACATAGAAAGACTATAAAAAAGCAGCAGAGCAAACTGTAAACAGCCTGGAATAATAACATCATGTCTGTCAGAACTTTATGATTGACCCAAAGCAGGCTTCTTCCGTCAGCGGCCAGACCTTATATGGAGTCATTCCAGTAATCTTATTTTTTGTTCACAGATAGCATGGTACTGGTTATTTACTGGTAATGTTACAACGGTATTTCTGAAAAAGTCCTGTTCACACATTATCTCTAAAAGGTAATTTACCGGTAAAGATAGCATGTGTAAAAGGGGTTATATTCTGCCCAAAGGAAACTCAGCGGCCAGACCTTATATGGAGTCATTCCAGTAATCTTATTTTTTGTTCACAGATAGCATGGTACTGGTTATTTACTGGTAATGTTACAACGGTATTTCTGAAAAAGTCCTGTTCACACATTATCTCTAAAAGGTAATTTACCGGTAAAGATAGCATGTGTAAAAGGGGTTATATTCTGCCCAAAGGAAACTACTCTTCACTCACACAGCCATCTTCTTCTGGACCTACTCCATGCTAATTACACACATACCCCCGGTTTCACAGCCTAGTCCCAGACTAAAATGCATGTCTGGGCTGTTTTAACTGAAAGAAATTTGATTTGTCTCAAGATGCACACCAGTAATGGTTTTTTTTCTAAGGCATCTTTATAAAAAAAGCTACTTCGATGTCCTAATTGAACTATGGCTTAATCCTAACTTAATCTAAACCCTGTCTGAAACCAGGCCACAGAGAATTAAGGCTGAAGTTTTCTCATTAGATGAACAAAAAGCGTTGCTTAGTATTTACAACCACACTGAAATATCTGGTGTTTCAGGCACTGTTAATATTTTGTCTCCTGCCTGTGTTTGCTGGGTCTGTCTGAACTACACAAAGTGTTTCACAGATCTCTCTCATGGGTATATTTCAGTTAAACAGGAAGCTGTGTTATAGCCCTTCCAGGATGGTACAAAGCAGCCCATTGTCTGAGTTTTCCTTTTTTCAGCAAGGAAAACAGATGAGAATCTGCAGCGCTTTGATAGCCCACCTAATATTAAGCAAGACTGATCTTTGATAATCACCTAACTATGATCCCAACTGGCAGAAGTTAAGTCCATGGTGTATCAGAGAACACTGGAGCGCTGATTAACACCGGGGTAAAAACTTACTGCCCTTGACCTGCCTCAGTTCCCTGGAAAACAAAAAAGGGCCATTTGTTTTTTGGTTAAATTAGGTTAGTATAATAATTTAATTCTGGGATATAAAAGACACATTCTAGGAATAGGGTACAAAACAGGGCCTGAAAGTCTTAAAAATGAAGTCATTTTCTTTTTCAACAAACTATACAAAGGCAGAGCACAGTAATTTCAAAATGGGGTAAAAATCAATTTTGAGCTCAAGATTTTTTATGTAGATAATTTTCATTACTAAAACATCTAATTGCCAGATTTCCAGTGTCCTACCTATAATTAATTTGGCTGGACAAATAAAAATCTTTAAAGTAATTTTTCTCAGTTCCACACTAGTGAGTTAAGGTCTTTTGCATTTGTAGGGCAGAATGGTGTTCTGGATTTTTACTGAGACCATTCACGCAGCACTAAAATACCAGTAAACTCTGTGATGTCAGTTATCGGAACTTATGCAGCGTTTTTTTTTATTCATTAGCTCGGATGAGGAGAAGCGCTTAAGTTTAGCTATCTATCCAATTTGATCATTCGTTACTTCTGCATGACATGAGTAAGGAGAGGATCACACATAACACGTTTTTGTGCTTAAAAACACAATAGTATCCAACTGCAGAGGACAACTGCGGTGCTGATGAATGGAAAAGAGGGCCGTTTTAGAGTGAAAAGCACAATACATCTATCAAAGACATCCAAATAACACACATTTACATAGAAAGACTATAAAAAAGCAGCAGAGCAAACTGTAAACAGCCTGGAATAATAACATCATGTCTGTCAGAACTTTATGATTGACCCAAAGCAGGCTTCTTCCGTCAGCGGCCAGACCTTATATGGAGTCATTCCAGTAATCTTATTTTTTGTTCACAGATAGCATGGTACTGGTTATTTACTGGTAATGTTACAACGGTATTTCTGAAAAAGTCCTGTTCACACATTATCTCTAAAAGGTAATTTACCGGTAAAGATAGCATGTGTAAAAGGGGTTATATTCTGCCCAAAGGAAACAGAAATAGTCAACACATAACAATACTCTTCACTCACACAGCCATCTTCTTCTGGACCTACTCCATGCTAATTACACACATACCCCCGGTTTCACAGCCTAGTCCCAGACTAAAATGCATGTCTGGGCTGTTTTAACTGAAAGAAATTTGATTTGTCTCAAGATGCACACCAGTAATGTTTTTTTTTCTAAGGCATCTTTATAAAAAAAGCTACTTCGATGTCCTAATTGAACTATGGCTTAATCCTAACTTAATCTAAACCCTGTCTGAAACCAGGCCACAGAGAATTAAGGCTGAAGTTTTCTCATTAGATGAACAAAAAGCGTTGCTTAGTATTTACAACCACACTGAAATATCTGGTGTTTCAGGCACTGTTAATATTTTGTCTCCTGCCTGTGTTTGCTGGGTCTGTCTGAACTACACAAAGTGTTTCACAGATCTCTCTCATGGGTATATTTCAGTTAAACAGGAAGCTGTGTTATAGCCCTTCCAGGATGGTACAAAGCAGCCCATTGTCTGAGTTTTCCTTTTTTCAGCAAGGAAAACAGATGAGAATCTGCAGCGCTTTGATAGCCTGCTTAATATTAAGCAAGACTGATCTCTGATAATCTAATAATTTAGGGTACAAAATAGGGCCTGAAATTCTTAAAAAATTAAGTAATTTGTTTTTCTTTTTCAACAAACTGTCAGTAAAAGAATGCACTTAAGCCTCAGAAAATGTTCTTCTGTTATTAAAATTAAATAAATAAATAAAAAACACAAAATACACAATACCAATTCAACAGATTACGTCAAAACAATGACGTATTGGGTGTCGGATATACTTGAGAAGGTCAAGAACTCTGAAGTGGCACAGCCAAAATCATAATTTTTCAATTTCACATTGGCAGAACAAATGAGAAGCTTTAGAGGAGATAATGGTTGTTCTGGTTATTTCAACCCAAAACTTTCTGCAGATGTCTGCATTGCAGTGCTGGTAATGAGTGATAATTGAATTTGTGTGTGTTTATCCCACGAGCAACATAATAATTCTCGATTATGAATGCCAAATAAATAATTTTTCATTTGACATAGATTTTGTTTTTTACTCTGCCATTCTCTGGCATGCAGGAATCAAAGCACTTGCATGTGTGTGTGAGAGAACATGAGCAAAGCAAACATAAAATGTATGTTTTGTAAATCCCAGAACATTAAAAACATCTGTGCTGCATTCTGCATTACATTTGTTTGGCTAAAATGATTTCTGTTCTCTGTTTATTTTTACTGTGTATATGATAGTGTACTTAAAAGTGATGAGTTTTTATCTTTGTGGTCATGAAAGTGAAACATACACAATGATAAGAGCAGAGGCCAAAACTGATGCTCAGCAAGTCCAAAGTAAGAGTCAAAGTAAGTCTTTCTGAAATTACACAATGTCCTAAATCACTGTAGCTGTTTGTGACACGCTCAAATGTGCTCTCCAATCACAAGCGAAGTACAGACCTGCAGTAAACAGAATATTACACTAATTTGGATGCAACCCACTTGGAAATCTGGATTTTGGCAGTTCCAATTCACACGCAGTACAGAAAGCACAGAAAGCCAATGGGAAAAGAGTATGAGTAAGTGGTTTGGAGCGCTATGTTACCAATACATCAATATATCTTTTGAGGTAAGTATTGTTTATTCCAGTTCTCCTACAATTGTAAATTCATGCAATGAGAGTATTGCTAGTCACTGTGCGGAAAAGAAGGCCAGTGTTTATTTTTCGGCTGGTTGATGTATGTTATAGATTTTTCTCTGGGCTTTGGCCAGCGTTCTGCTTTACTGTTGATTTAGAGTAACTAAAGAAAGAAGCTCCGATAGTCAGACAGGATTCCAGCAACCCCTGCTGAGAATGTGGATTCACTTCTGTAGCATTTACTGGACAGGGTTTCACATATCTTAGCAAAGTTGGAGTACATCCAACTCCATGTCGAAAACAACACACAAAAAGTTAAATATAGGCTATATATAGTGATATAATATATAGTGAATCTGGTTTTAATGGGTATTTCTAAGTTCCCCTTGTGAACTTTGGTCAATTTAGGTACCACTTTATATTTGGTGTTTTTAACTACTATGTACTTATGTCAAAATAAAAAATTAAATAAATGAATGAATGAAAGTTAGGTACAACTATTGTGTTCATGGTAAATTGCAAAACACTTTTGCTGCTATTGAGGTGGGATACGGGTAAGGCTAGGGACAGTTTTGGTGCTACAGTTAGGTTTAAGAGTGGGTTAAGGCGTAGGGTAGGGACGACAGTGTAATTATAGATGTAACTACAGAAATGAATTACAGATGTAATTACAGGAAGGCATTTTTTAAATGTAAGTCCAATATAAAAACAGGTTTGTACACATTGTATCAAATGATTCCTTTAAATGTAAGCACAGAGTAGTTAAAGACACTTAATATAAAGGGAGTCCTGCTTTTAGTTTTTAAAATAATTTTATTTAGTAATAACGGTAACACTTTACAATAAGGTTCATTAGTTAACATTAGTTAACTACTTTAGTTAACATGAACTAAGCATGAACAATACTTCTACAGCATTTATTAATCTTAGTTCATGTTCATTTCAACATTTATTTATGCATTATTAAAATCAAAAGTTGTGCTTGTTAACATTAGTTAATGCACTGTGAATTAACATGAACTAACAATGAACAACTGTATTTTCAATAACTAACATTAACAAAGATTAATAAATACTGTAATAAATGTGTTGTTCATTGTTTGTTCATGTTAGTTAATACATTAACTAACATTAACTAATGGAACCTTATTGTAACGTGTTACCGTAATAACATTAAACAAAGGTGAAGTTGAGGTGGCAGAGGGATATCAGAAGAACAGTGTGAAGTGAGCAGCTATTTACTATATATACACATTGGCAGGATGAGATAAACATAATTCTTACAAACAATCATTCCAAACTCCATTAAAAAGTGGATTCAGAATATTTTAAAGAAAGGTTTGTACATAATTCCATTTAAGTATTAATAAATTATTAATTAATTAATTTCATAAACTAATAAAATAATATCTTCCAGAGTTTCCAAACAACAGTTTGGGGGCAATAAATGACACACAAACTCTTTTTAGTTCAGCGTTCTAAAGGCGATGCTTAAAAATAAATTCGACACAGCTTTCTTACGTAAAATAAAATTTCAATTTAAAAGCTTTTGAAATGTACAAATTAGACAGGACAGTGAGAGAAGAGCAGCCAACAGCCAGGATGCACCTCATGACATTTCTGCAGCAAGGTAAGCAGTATCATATTGGTAGTCTTGAAGCTGTATCACTGCATTCATTTCTCATTAATGCCAGAGCCGAACTCTGGAGCACTCTCAAAGCACATAATGTGCTTCATGAGCTGACGACACACCAGACTTCTGTCAGACCATAACACTGCCAAGGTATGTGCTGCTTGTCCAAGCTTTGCTTACCCTTCCCCAAGTCCTTATTTCTGTAAACATTCACCTCGCTCTATTAAAAATCATTACGGCTCTCTGCTAATGGAAACTGTTTCACATTCCAAATAAGGAGAAAGGAGGTAGAATGTGTGCTACAACCCTCGTTTAATGAGCGGCTCTTGCTATTGAGGTTTCAATGAGTCTTTTATTCCCACCTTGGCTGCTGGATACTGGTGTGTAAAAAAAAAATTCCTGTCTCATTAAAGTGTCTCTTTGTGGCCTAAACATTTGCTCTCTGAAGTAATGTGACGCCATCAAAATTTCATGTACTGTAGCAATCCAATACCCCACCAAACAGCAGTGAACAATTTTAACATCCAAATCCGGGGGTGTAAAATATTAAAAGTAGAAAAACATGAAGAGTAATGACCAAAAACCAGAGTAATAAAGCAGACCCAAAGCCTAGAAATACTGTTTAAGTAAATAATTTAAGTAAACTTCCATTTAACAAATTTAAATTGATTTACATGTAATAAAATATCTTTGTGAAAAAAAAAACAAGAATTGTGTTGCATTGTGTTGATTTTAATGAACTAATTTGCATTTAGCTAGTAGCCACGCAGATCTTAGCTGGTGAAGCTAGTCAAACTGCACTGACCTTCTGATGAAACTTATAAAGCAATTAGGCTATCTGCTTACAAGAACACATTGTTTTAGACCTCACTATGCAAACTGCACCTATGGCAATGCTGAGAACTGAGTCTTCAAATGCCTATAAATGATCTCAGATGAAACAGACATGCTCCATGTGCACCAATTTACAATATGTTTCATTGTTTTCGGTAAACATTCAGGCCAGAGACAAAAACCTTCTTCATTGTATCTAATTGGTTCTTGTGGAAAAATCCTACTTAAAAGCACATCTGTATGTCTGGAGAAGATTCAAAACAAAGCAACAGTAATTCTGGATGCACTTGAATGGGATCAGAAGCCTCTTTGTCTAAACGATGAACATCCTAATGCTGGACTGATGTAAACGATCTCAGCTACAGAAATGAGACAAACCACCTTTTCCTCTACTTTTTGTTTTTTTTTCTTCTCATGGAAAGCAGATTTCAACACTCATAACAGAGGACTGAAGCTGTATGGGACATCTGGAGTCCTGATGTGCTTTTGCAAAAATCGTGTAGCCGCTAATCATTAACGTCAGAGAAGGATCAGCTGTAACTCTTTTAAAATCATGACTGTTATTCACTGATAATCTTGCCCTCCAGTGAGTTGTTAGCAGCTGCGACCGGATCGAGTCAAGCAAGTTGAACTCGAGAACCAGATCAGCCCAATTTGTGAATGAATCATTCAGACCATTTTTGTGAACCGCATCAACTGATTCATTGAAAAGACTCACGATTACTCCTCTCACACATCAGGGACTAAGTTTGGTTATTTACTGTATTTTTCTGATTTTTCTGCAACACTATTAACCTTGGTAAATTGTCACAGGTTTGAAAGTGAGTCATTTATTATGTGCATATGTTTAAACGAGGTCAAAAAAGAAGCAAATCATATTTACCTGTGGCTTTCTCAGGGTTACTGCACATGAAACAGAGCCAGCCACCCTCCTCTTCACTGTAGCTGAACAGGTCAAAGAAACGAACCTCCTCCAGATACATCTGCAAACTGTCCACATCCTGAGAATGAATACAGAGAAGGAGTGAGGAAATTTAGCAGATGAAGCTATTCCACAGCACTGAAGATGACGCACAATAGAAAGAGTCATTAGCTACCAGCTCACATGGCCGATCTGCTCCAAAACCCAGACCGTGCAATTATGCTTCCTTCAAAAATACCTCATTTTGGCTGTATTCTAAGACAGCAACACATGTAACCTTTACAAAGTATGCTAGAATGCAAGTTAAGTGAGAAAAAAAAATCTTCCAAGATCTAACGATTAGTCTAAAACAATGCTTATTATAAGTATACTTAATACTATACTTACTTTTACTATTTCACTCAATAGTTATGTGTGCTTTATGCTGTTTGTTGAATACAGAGAAGGAGTGAGGAAATTTAGCCGATGAAGCTATTCCACAGCACTGAAGATGACGCACAATAGAAAGAGTCATTAGCTACCAGCTCACATGGCCGATCTGCTCCAAAACCCAGACCGTGCAATTATGCTTCCTTCAAAAATACCTCATTTTTGCCGTATTCTAAGACAGCAACACATGTAACCTTTACAAAGTATGCTAGAATGCAAGTTAAGTGAGAAAAAAAAATCTTCCAAGATCTAAAGATTAGTCTAAAACAATGCTTATTATAAGTATACTTAATACTATACTTACTTTTACTATTTCACTCAATAGTTATGTGTGCTTTATGCTGTTTGTTTGTTTATTTATTTATTTGTAATGTTGTTAGCTTAGAAAAATGTTCATGCCAATCTACTGGAATTAACTGTAACACATTTATTGGAATAACATAGACATCATTGAAATATGTGTCCTGAGACATCAAACTTCTTTCTGTTATATCTTGAGATTCTGTAATCACCAAAATAGAAAGACAGAAGCACACAATTGTTTGCTTTGAGGTGCTCCCTGTCTGTCAGTTACTGAGTGTACGGGTTTGCTGAGATATCTATGCAGGCCAACATTTTGGCAAAGTCCAGCTGAAGTTAGCAAAGTGGCTAATATTTATGACAGAAGGGCTACCTTGTGAATGTAAACAGTAACAGCAAGGCAGCTTGTTAAGTTTTGGAACAGGGCTAACTCATTCACTACATTGATTTAAAGGGGTCATATGATGCGATTTCAATGTTTCCTTTCTCTTTGGAGTGTTACAAGCTCTTGGTGCATAAAGAAGATGTGTAAAGTTGCAAAGACTAAAGTCTCAAATCCAAAGATATGCTTTATAAAAGTTAAGAGTCAGCCATACCTACCTAAAATGGCTCGTTCTAACACGCCCCCACATACCTACGTCACTATCTGGGAAGATTTGCATAACGCCACCCAAATGTTCACGCAAAGAAAGAAGGCGTAACTTTTATTCTCGCTGTAGTATTGTTGCCGCCACCGCCATGTCGTGAAGGCGCTTTGTGCTTCGTTGTGAAAGCGAAACTACTTTGTTTGGCCTTCCAAAAGAGGACGATATCTGCTTCGTCATGCCATCATGGCTTTCACCGTGGACGAAGCGGAGTCCAGCCCGGGGTCGTCACATGTGGTTGCCGCAGGCATCACAGTATGGTAAGGGACATAACATTTCCGTCACACGCTTGAGAAATTCGGCCAATCACAACGCACTGGATAGCTGGCCAATCAGAGCACACCTCGCTTTTTCAGACCGATGGGCTTTGTAAAAATCTACGCGTTTCAGAAAGGTGGGGTATAGAGGAGAAACAATAATGTACAGTATGTGGAAATAATGTGCTTTTTTTTACCTTAAACCACATAAACACATTTCATTACACCAAATACACAAAATAATGTTCTTTTTAGCAGCATCACATGACCCCTTTAAATGTGAAGATTTACATTGTGGAGAGATTCTTGACACCAGGAAAGTAGTAAACCACAAGCTAGCTTTGAGAGAGTTGTGATAAATTGTAGTTAGCCACTTAAGGCTACGAGTTTTCAAGATGAATGGAGTCTCATTAGTCTTTAAGTGGAAGAGACTTTTGATTTAGTTATCTGTCTCAAGTCTTTGCGGAAGGTCGTCAATGGACTGAAACAGCTGCGTAATGACAATATGGGATTTACTTACGTATTATAGAGTCAACAGCACAGCTAGACACCAATGAACAATGAGAGTCAACATCTAAATGTGCTTACTGAATAGAATTTCCAGTGGATGTGAGGGTGTGCGGCCTTTAGCAAGAGCAATCTGCCAAAATGAAGACAGCCAATGGATTTTTTTTTTTTTTTACAGATATCAAAATAAGTGAAGTGACTTATACTGAGCTGAGGTATTCTGGAAATGGACAATCACAAACATCACACAGAAGAGTTGGAAGAAAAACAATATTTTTTCGGAAGTCCTTTCCAAGAAATTACAATCACTGGCTTGTGCATTGCCTCCACCCTTAAAGGGATAGTTCACCCAAAAATGAAAATTCTGACATCAGTTACTCACACTCATGTCGTTCCAAACCCATATGAAATTCATTCATCTTTGAAACATATTATAGAGTCAACAGCACAGCTAGACACCAATGAACAATGAGAGTCAACATCTAAATGTGCTTACTGAATAGAATTTCCAGTGGATGTGAGGGTGTGCGGCCTTTAGCAAGAGCAATCTGCCAAAATGAAGACAGCCAATGGATTTTTTTTTTTTTTTACAGATATCAAAATAAGTGAAGTGACTATTATACTGAGCTGAGGTATTCTGGAAATGGACAATCACAAACATCACACAGAAGAGTTGGAAGAAAAACTATATTTTTTCGGAAGTCCTTTCCAAGAAATTACAATCACTGGCTTGTGCATTGCCTCCACCCTTAAAGGGATAGTTCACCCAAAAATGAAAATTCTGACATCAGTTACTCACACTCATGTCGTTCCAAACCCATATGAAATTCATTCATCTTTGAAACACAGATGAAGATATTTTTAATGAAACCTGACAGATCTCTGTGCAAGAACCAAAAAAGGCTTGCATTATGCAAGTATGGTTGAGCTGCCGTTGACCATATTTGATGTACGTTGATCATTGTTTATATGTGAATTAAAGTTAAAATTAAATGTGCTTATCAAATAAAGTGACCATGTCTTTCCAGAAGACTTCATAAGGATTACTTTTACGATGACTTTATGAAATATTGTTTGAATGGACTTTCAGTGGAGGGACAGAAACCTCTCAGGTTTCATAAAAAACATCTCTAAATATCGTCATCATTCCAAAGATGAATGAATGTCTTATGGGTTTCATACAACATGAGGGTGAGAAATTGGGGTTAATAAAACTACTTGTATCACACAAAGCTATGCATAAAATCCTTCTGTGGAAAATAAAAGATATTTTGAGAAAAAAAAATCCCTACAAAGAAAGTCAATGATAAACAAAACCAACATTCTTCAAAATGTATTTTGTGTTCTGCAGATGAGTCGTGCATGATGAGTGAGTGTTTTTGGGTGAACTATCCCTTTAAGATTATAAAGCTTCATACAAAGTCATACAAAGCATTTTTTTTTAAAAATCTTTATTTAATTATTCAGAGCTTGGGGGAACTATTCCATTAAGAGGGTCTGATTTTCTACTTTCTGTATTACACAAAGTTTCACTTCAAGCGAATAAAACCAGGTCATCAGTCATTCCAGCTTTTTCAGGCATGAGGCTCAGAGAGATGAAAGAGTTTTCACCGTCTCCTTCAGCATGGCAGCGCATTACTTAGATTAAGGTGGGGGACACAGTAAAGCCAACTTCCCCAGACAATAGACCGACACCAAATTTGTTAGAGAAGAAATTGCTTCAAGAAACCCGTTTCAAATTTCAGTTGAGTGGTCAAGACGACAACTAAAGCCCAAACAACTTCCATTAGATCTACATGATACAAGTTGTTCAGAGCTAAGAGTAATCCGACACAAGGGGTAGACAAGAGTTTAATTTTCACCTTTCCTGTGAGTGATCACAATCGAGAGCTTTTATTTCTCCAAGTTCAGAGAAGAGGGAGATGAAAGACCATCCATCATACATCTTATATTTAAATTTCTCTTCATGCTTGCCTGTAGATAGATGCATGTCATTATCGAACCCCCGCGGACAGCCTCTCTGGCTAAGAACAGTCCAGTCATCTTACTAGTGCTCTGCCTTCACTTATTTCATGCCAACTAAATCAGTGTAAGAATTGAGCAAGAAATGTAATGTGCATTTGATTATTTGTGACAGGAAAACCTTTTTACATAGCACAAATGGTATTTGATGTATTTTTTTTACAGATGAGTCAAGTACATAGGTCTAAATGAGGGCCATGTGTGTGTGTGTACATGTTTTCACATGTGGAGTTCAGTAGGGGGTATTTGTGCTGTGGTTTATGTTTCTTATTAAAAGCTGGGCTCAAAAAATCTGAGCTGGAGAGGATTTGCCCAAATCATTCACTCTAAGGTAGTGGTCTTGATCTGGTTGTTAACCCAAAATTAGGTTGCAGGTGTCAGGGTTCTGTCATTTAGTTTGGGCTTATTCTTAGTTTAGTGACTAAGAACTCATATATCATCTTGTCTTTGTGTGCAGCTTCAAGTTTGCTCATGCCGTGCACTCGCTCGTCCTTGTGGTGTGTGCGGAGCGTGGTGTATGGATCTCAACACTTCTGTCTTGTTTGGTTCAGTGTCTAGGCCCCGATATACTTCAAGTGAAATCGAAGAACGAACTGATGTGATGTCATTTCGAACAAAATCCGGCCAAAAACGAAGTTTGTTTTGGGAGTTCGAAATGGCTTGCCAAAGCAAACTTTCCGGAAAAGTTCGTTCCGGCCTTCGTACTTACATTGGTCCATGACAATTACGTCATAGGAGGTGTGCGCTGAGGCTCCGCCTTCTTTCACACAGAACTCTTCTCTGGGTTCCTTTCGTCTGTCGAGTCCTTGGAGGTGAGATGTCCGCGGGTAAAAACATGAACACAGTGGAGAGCTGCTTTATAGTAGCAAATTAAGTTCTGCTTCTAATGAAATGAGACACTGACAGTGTTTTCATGTTTA